TATCATTTGCCATTGTGGAGAAATAATCACCCATCACCTCCACTACAGATTGTTGATCTGTAACGATATTTTCATTGACTCTTAGGGAAATGTTTGTAACCTGCTTTCATTTTGAGCGGAGGAATGGGTTAAAGGTCTTGAAGAAATCTCTAGGCTTAGTTTTCAGCTCGTCCGACTTTTGTTTCCAATAATTTTTGATTGCTCTTCTCCTTTCTCTGGTGGCTATGTTGCGCCATTTCCTCTTAAGCTCCCAGTTTTTAGGGGAACGGTTCCGCGCATAATTTTGTGCGTGCTTTCGTTTTTGTCTAATGGCTTTTTGTCTTATTACAGACCACGTGATATTCTCCAGAAAATTGTTCTTTTATCCATCTAAAAATTATTTATTCATACGCACGCGACTATTTGAAAACTTGAAAGGAAGAATTCTTAAGAGTATCATCACATGGTCTGAAATGGGGCAACCACCCAGTCGAAAAAGGTCTATTGACAAGAGAGTGATTGGTTACCTTTTAAACTGATGGAGGGGTCCAAGTATCAAACGGAGTTCCTCCATTAAGTAGAATCTCATATGTCCTGTCAAAGAACAAGCAAACGGTGTTTCCCCACATAGCTAAATTTTTCCAACTAAGCCTCGTTTTAAATCTCGTAGAATTTGTGCCAACTGGACACACTACAGGCAAGCGCACAATCGGAAGGGGAGGGGGAGAAGGAGAGAAACATTATTACACCCACTCGTTAAATTTATGATTTTTTAATCCAATCACGGAATAGCACGGGCACTCGAAAGTATTGCGAAAGCTGTGGCGCCAACGTGTCGCCAACAGTTACTTCGAAACTTTAAGACGAAAACTGCGGGCTCAATTTGGCCTGAGAAGCTGGAATTCGCCTAAACCAAATGGCATTTGCTATGACAACTGCGTATGATAAATTAGCTTGTTACAATGGTGCGATTCACTTTCATTTCGTCAGGCGTTTACACTCCATCGTCCACATGTTAAATAATAACTAATTTTATATATTTTTAATGGCCTTACTTGTTAGGTACTGGCGCTCCATTTTCTTCAAACAGTCTCATTAAACACCAGCCACATGCTACTTCACTTTTCTCGCCGGTGGACTACAAGAAAGAAAAGACAGGGAAGTTAAACAAAGACTACTGTTAAATCTATAAATAATGGAAAACTTGACGTTCAAGAGAGGTTTCACGAGGTGTATGGATCGGTGTAAAGGAAGGACGAAAAATCCTGGCTGTACTTGTGAATACAGTGGAACCTCGACTTAACGAAGTCGCTGGGGACCGGCCAAATTTGTTCGTTAAATCGAGGGTTCGTTATATCGAAAACCTCCATATAACGAATTTGAGGGGAAACGACCATAATGTTCGTTATATCGAAGTCATAGTTAATGATTGATTTGTAACACAGGTGACTTCTGTCACGCAATTCAATGCAATTTTCGTCACCC